CACCATTTCCTAATGAAACACTTATAATTATAAGGTAGTTATTACTAATCTAATACAATTATACCGTATAGAAGTCTTATTTAAAATTCTCTTTTACTTTTAGTACATTTATCGTTTCTTATGATTACTTTGGTTTCAAACAAATCAAGCACTCGTTGACTAATTACTTGAGCTATTGTCTGCTACGTTGGATAAAACTTAGTCGCAGAATAGTCGGACCAATACTCATGGTATATATGTTGTCAATGTGTGGAAGCGGTCCTCTTTGGTCCCAATTGAAGCCATTGTTTGCGAGCAGTTGTCAAACTCATTACTTAAAGAGTTTGCTATTATTTAATAACTATTTTACAGACTTCGATGAATTGGTGAGTGAGAATGATGAATTTAATATTACAATGTATTCAAAATGATATACTGTAGTATGTTTAATTAGTGTTTTGTGTTGATTGATATATGTATGTGCGATCAGTGCAACTCCTCTTATTTGGCACCTGTATTTCAGCTCCAATTAATCACTCCATTAGTGTTGATAGTATTGAGAAAAAGTGAACGCTTTGGTTATGTCATAATCACATGTTTGGTGGCATTGGGGCTGTGGTTAAGTGTTTGGCCTAAACTAGTGTTGGGCACCAGAATAGCTCCCTTCGAGATCTCATCGATGAGTTCACTCTCGGAAGTGAAGCATTCAATCATCCGTTACACACAATACACCGACCAATACATCACATCATTTGCTTTGGGATTACTGTTGGCTTATTTGGTGCGATATAAGTATAGCGTTCGCATCCATTACTTGTTAACTGTTGTCCTTTGGATAATGTGTCCACTACTGAGTCTGGCCTCTATTGTATGGGCAGAGAGTTTCATCCAGAACAATGAACTCAACAACTCATATACACAACAAAATCAGTTGCAATTCATATTGTGCTACTCTGTGGGCAAACTCATGTGGTCTACAGGAGTGGCCTGGGCTATATATGCTTGTACTACTGGTCGGGCTGGTAGGCATTGTTAAACATTAATGATACAGTAATATGTAATCTAAATTTTGAATATTGACAGGATATATGGGTTATATATTGAATGGCAAGTCTTTGAGACCACTTTGTCGCCTCTCAATAACAATTTTAGTGATGCATTCAGTTGTCATCAATTACCAGATGTTTACCCGAAAAGATGTCTATCAAATGACACACTTATCGACGGTATAGATGACACAATTGACTATTAATCACAATATTTTCTAATTATTTTGATTTTAATTTTACAGATCTCCAATATGGCTATTGATTTTATACTTACAATATGTATATCTTATATTCTTTACATTCTAATTGAATCCCCAATCGATAACTTGGTCAAATTATTTTCTAAACAAAAATTACACCAAATTTGTAGTGATAGACAAACTAACAAAAGTGATATAATAATGGTAAATGAGGACCACGACAAATGTGTCCTCAAATATATATTTCCAAATGACTCTAATTTCTAAAATATTTCATCTCTTCTACATTATAATTTATAAAGTATTTCATTGATAAAAGTTGATTAATTTTAAATAAAAATGCATTTAAATATGCTGTTCAGTATGTTATAATTGGTATAATGTACTAAATTGTCCTCATATTGTTCTTAATTGAAACACCAAACTTAATGAACCTTAAAAATTGTCATTTAGGACCTCATTACCGGTATAAAATGATATTTATTTATTATATAAATTCAATTCATGTGTTGATAAAAAGTAAGTGTTGGTTAGTTTGGCAAATATTGGAGCAGTTCTAAGATGAGTGTTTATGTTTATATGACAATTAATGTCACAATTTGCCGGTAATTGTATTTGTATTACTCATTCAATTATATCAAATCACTATAATTATTAAGCCGTAATGATCAATTTATTCATTTCTTTATTATTGTAATTAATTATTATGTTAATTATAATAATTACAATAGTTAATTGATATTCATTTGATTCACTCTATAAATTTTTTTTGTATTTTATGCTTTTATGCATTTTAAATGCAAAAAATTTTCTAACATCAAAATAAATCGTTAGTTTTAAATTATTTTTCAGAATATTAGCATCTAAAACATTAAATAATTCCAAATTGATATAATTTATAAGTAATGTCACTATAAATACAATGACAATTCGAGTTTTGTAATAATTTAAATTTATAATTTAAATTACTAGTTTTGAAACAACACTGAATTAATTGAAATATTTACGGTATTTACGGTAATATCTTTATTTTAGTGCACAATAATACTGTATAAATTTGACTGTTCCTTGTAAACATTAAAATATTATAAAGTATAATATTAAAATCATATAAATTAGTTCACTTCTTTATATAAGACCTAATAATATTAATTCTCATACAGTATGCTGTATTATTTATTATATGTACAGAGTAAATCTTTATTGACTAACTCATTAATATTGATCTCAAAATATAATAATTTTATTAATGACATTAAAATTATTTTTAATAAAATGTTAAAACCTTTAATTGAGTAATGATTTATTGAATGACTTATTGACCGAAACCTGTTTCACTTTGACAGTACTTTCACACCTTTCCATTGCATGTCATGTAAATGTGTGGCAGTATTGATGCCGTGGTTGCCAATCAAGCGTGTGGTATATAAACGAGATAAAAGTTTGAAGAAACACTTTTTTCGTGTTGTCTTTCATTTGTGGATTTCATTTCTAAATATTACTGAAATTTTTTAATAAAGTTCCTAACGTTACAAACAATTGTACGAAATATGTGTTCATCCAAATCATACATCCCTTGTGTTATGGCTGAGGATATAGTGATCAGTGGAATGAGTGGTCGCTTCCCAGAGG